TGGTGTATGTGTGTGTGTGTGTGTGTGTGTGTGTGTGTGTGTGTGTGTGTAGGGGGGGATGACAGAGCCACACCGCCCTCCCCCCTCCCCCCTCACTCTGCCCTCCAGATTCCCCAGGGGAAAGCAGACACGCAGGGCAGAGAGCCAGGGAGATGGGGAGGGTGGGAACAGTGACTGCGATGCCTGGAAGACCGTCCCTCCCTCTTCCCAAACGCCTGCCCCCCCCCCCACTGTCCCCTGTAAGTGCCGCTTGGCTGGGGTGTGTGAGATTCCCTGGCTCCTCACACTTCCCCTGAGCCCCTAAGTCACCACCCAGGCCGGGACCTTCTGAACAGGGCAGAGCCGGGCCGGGGCTCCCGGGAGGAGGAGGAGAGACAGGAGAAACTCAGACACGGGCATCCCACAGGGCAGGTGGGAGGGGACTGCAGGAACAAGGTGACAACAGGGGCTCGGCAGCACCAGGCACCTTGGGAGGAGAGATCAGGGGCGCCACCCGCACCCAGAGGCCCGTGGTCCAGGGAATGCGTTAAGGAGACATTCACAAAGTCCCCAGCAGGGCTCACAAGGCCTCTTTTTTTGGGGGGGGGTCACACCCAGCGATGCACAGGGGTTACTCCTGGCTCATGCACTCAGGAATTAGTCCTGGCGGTGCTGGGGGGGGGGGGGCATATGGGATGCTGGGAATTGAACCCAGGTCCGCTGGCTGCAAGGCAAATGCCCAACCCGCTGTGCTATTGCTCCAACCCCAACACGAGGCCTCTTTGCTTGGCATCTTCCCTGGGCCCCATGTCAGCCCCGACTCTTGTACAACCCTCTGCTCTGGGTGGGTGCCCGCCCCGGCAGCTGCCCAGGGTTCGAATCCTCATCTCCCAGAATACCCCGAGATAAGGATGCTCTTCGCCCAAGGTGACTCCAGGCCATGGGGGCTCACTTCCTCCCCCACCCCCTGGAATCACTTTCAGCCTCAGGAGCCCTCTCACCCTCTCCACACTGAGTCTCTGGGTCACCATGGACTGGGTCACCTGCAAGACGGGCCAGGCTCGCTCCCAGGCGTTAGGGGTCCGAGAGAGCTGGAATGAGCTTTGCCGGCGGGCGGAGGGGCGCGCGGTATCCTCTGCCGGGTGTTGGGGCATGTGGACCCTCATCCTGTTGGCTCAGAGTACTCCCCCCCACCTCCACGGCGGCCCCAGAAGGAGAAGACCCTCTGCAGAAACCCTCTTGGGCTCCGTCTGGATGAGATTTGGATTACCAAATGTTACCGAGATAAAAGGAGCCGGTGTTGTTGCGCCGTAATATCAAAGTTCCTTTCTGACATCTGAAGACTCAAAGAGAAGAGCTGGCTGGAAATGAGGGGTGTGTGTGTGTGTGTGTGTGTGTGTGTGTGTGTGTGTGTGTGTGTGTGAGAGAGAGAGAGAGAGAGAGAGACAGAGACAGAGACAGAGACAGAGACAGAGGGAAGAAAGCCAGCCCCCATCTCTCCTGGTGCTGCATGACTGTTTTTCTCCAGTATCGTGGGGCACCCCGGTAGTGTCGGGGGGCGACTCCAGGCACGGCACCTATGCCAGGGAGAGGACCCCAGGCGCCGGGGAAGCAAAGCCAGGGGTCCCACACGCAGAGCCCGCACTCTGCCCAGCCACCAAGTGCACGTTTGCCTGTCTGGGTATTTGGAGGAGACGGGGCAGGACTGGGAGTCAAACCCAGGGCCTCTCACTCAGATGCTGAGCCCCCCACCCACAGCGTCGTGGCCAGTGGTTATCGGGAAGGTGGAGTGGAGGCCCCAAAGAGTCAGAGATGCGGTTCTCCAGGTCCTCCCCGCAGGGACCCTGACCCCGGCCTGAAGCTCCCACCGCCCAGAGCGCGACATCAGGCAACAGCGCCCCTGGCGGCGGCTCCCCGTCCGGCTCGTCTTGCAAAGTCCCTGGGGCCGATGGGCCAAGTCTGCAAGCCGCTGGTGAAGCCAAGTCCAGGAAAGGCTAAGTGAGCTAGGGTGCAGCTCTTGATTTATTTATTTTAATTTTTATTAATTTTTATTGAGTCACTGGAAATAGACCCTTACAAAGCTGTTCATGATTGGGATTCCGTCATACAATGTTCTAACACCCATCCCCCGCCAGTGGACATTTCCCACACCTGTGTCCCCAGGGTCCCTCTCATCATCCCCTGCCTCCCAGCCTGTCTCTATGGTGCTTTTGTTCTCTCTCTCTCTCTCTTCTCTCTTCTCTCCTCTCTCCTCTTTCTCTCTCTCTCTCTCTCTCCCCCCTCTCCTCTCTCCTCTTTCTCTCTCACTCTTCTCTCCTCTCTCTCTCTCTCTTCTCTCTTCTCTCCTCTCTCCTCTTTCTCTCTCTCTCTCTCTCTCTCTCTCTCTCTCTCTCTCTCCCTCCCCCTCTGGTTTTCGGGTCATACCCAAGTGTGCTCAGGGCTTACTCCTGGCTATGTGCTCAGGGATCACCCCGGGCAGTGCTCAGGGGACCATACAGGATGCCAAGGATTGAACCTGGGTCAACTTCATGCAAGACAAGTGTGGGCCAGAGTGGAACACAGCTTTGCAAAGGCCCTGGTGAAGCTGAGCATGTAAGTCACCGCTATCTTTTCACTCCAGCCCAGAAAGTCTCTATTTGACTCTATTGAACTCACGAGATTGAAATGAGGCACCACCTCTAGCTGACCTACCTTCTTCCTCATCCCCAATCATGGGTCTGCAAAGGGAAGGAAGGAAGGAAGGAAGGAAGGAAGGAAGGAAGGAAGGAAGGAAGGAAGGAAGGGAGGGAGGGAGGAAGGAGGAAGAAAGGGAGGGGGGAGTGAAAGAAGGAAGGAAGAGGGGCTGGAGCGATAGCACAGCGGGTAGGGAGTTTGTCTTGCACACGGCCGACCTGAGTTCAATTCCCAGCATCCCATATGGTCCCCTGAGCACCACCAGGAGTGATTCCTGAGTGCAGAGCCAGGAATAACCCCCGTGCATTGCCGGGTGTGACCCAAAAAGCTCAAGCGGGCCCAGTAAAGTCTCCATTTTGAGACTTGTTGTTACTGTGTTTGGCATGTTGAATACGTCAGGGGTAGCTTGCCAGGCTTTGCTGTGCAGGCGAGATACTCTCAGTAGCTTGCCGGGGCTCTCCGAGAGGGGCGGAGGAATCACACCCAGCTTGGCCGGGTTGGCTGCCCGCAAGGCAAATGCCCTACCGCCCTACCACTGTGCTACGGCTCCAGCTGACCCAAAAATCAAAAAAAAAAAAAGAAGGAAGGAAGGAGGAGGGAGGAGAGAGGGGAGAGAGGGAGGGAGGGAGGGAGGGAAGGAAGGAAGGAAGGAAGGGAGGTAGGGAGGGAGGGAAGGGAGAGAGGAGGAAGGAAGGAAGAAAGGAAAGAAGCGAGGGAGAGAGGGAAGGGAGGGAGAGATGGAAGGAAGGAGAGGAGGAGGGAAGGAAGGGAGGGAGGGAAGGGAGGGAGGAAGGAAGGGAGGGAAGGGAGGGAGGGAGGGAGAGAGGGAGGGAGGGAGGGAGAGAGGAAGCCCAGAGAGTGGAAGGTGGCAATGCCCACTGCACTGGATCTTCCACCTGAGCCAACGGCCTGAGCAAGACCCAGAGCAAGACCCATCGCTGATGCCCACAGCCGTTTCTGGAATGCTCACAGCAAGGGCTCCCCCACGCGCCTTGCACGCACTACTCGGGCGTTTTGGAAATGGAGCCAGGCAGGCTGGGTCGGCTGCGGTGAACCAGCAGCTACTCCCGCCAGCTGCCACCCAGACACCCAAACCTGGAGGACGAGCCAGGTCAGCAGATGGCTGCAGCCAAAGTCCCAGGTGCTCTGGACAGGTGTGCAGAGGAGACTGGGACTAGTGCCCTCAGGGGAGCCCTGGGGGATGGGACAGAATCAGGGAAAGCTTCCTGGAAGAAGTGACGGCCCTCCAGAGTGGCCCCACCTACCAAACTCCCCAGCATACCATGGCAGATAAGCCTGACTTTTTTTTTTTTTTTGCTTTTTGGGTCACACCCTGCAATGCACAGGGGTTCCTCCTGCCTCTGCACTCAGGAGTTACTCCTGGCGGTGCTCAGGGGACCCTATGGGATGCTGGGAATCGAACCCGGGTCAGCCGCGTGCAAGGCAAACGCCCTACCCATTGTGCTATCACTCCGGCCCCCCAACACCAATTTTTTAATAAAATAATTCACATTTTTTGGGGGGGTCACACCTGGTGATGCACAGAGGTTCCTCCTGGCTCTGCACTCAGGAATCACCCCTGGCGGTGCTCAGGGGACCATCTGGGATGCTGGGATTCGAACCCGGGTCGGCCGCGTGCAAGGCAAACGCCCCACCCGCTGTGCTATTGCTCCAGCCCCGTCATGCCTTATTTTTAAAGGGTCGCTCTGTCTGCTTGAGTCTCATCCCATGCAAAACCCAAAACCTCGGGAGTGAGACCCCAGACCTTGCCGGCAGACCTCCAAGCCCACCACGAGACAGCAAAGCAGGGTGAGAACAAGCCCCCGAGATGCCCGGGCGGCCCCCCACGAGCAGCCCCGGGGAGCCCAGGAAACACCGAGAAACACTCCAGGGCTGCAAGGGCTGGCAGGGGCGGGCCAGTGCGTGCCCGTTGCACCCGCGCTCCCCGGCGCGGCCACCTCCAGCCACACCTGGCTCGGACCCCGTCCCCTGCCTCCCTTAGGTGCTGGAGGGGTGAATGCACGGAGGGCCGCAACTCCCACGGGCGACAGCATCGATTCACAAGCAGGCCGCCCGCTCAGGAAGAGTCTGGAGTCCTCCTAGCCAGGCTTGAGCCCACCCTTGCCGCTCCGCCGCTGGGCGACCGTCCCCTGGGCAGCCCCAGCAGCTCCTGCAGGTGCTAGGGGCGCCGAGCCCGCCCTGAGCCCGCCCACCCCAACGAGTGCGCAGGCGCGGCTCCTGGTGGGCGTGGCCTCGGAGCGCCGCGCGCAGGCGCAGACTCAAAGAGGCGGGGCCGCGCCTGCGCAGACCGCCCATCATGGCGGCGCCCAGTGCCGCGCGCTGAGCGGGGGTGGGCAGCGCTTCCGGCCGAGCGCGCAGCGCCCCCCTAGGTGAGGCCACCCGGCGGGGCTGGGGCACGCGGGGGTCCTGCTGGCGCCGGGCCTGGCCCTGAGACCCCGGCTCGGGGTCCCCGGGGGCTCCGCCTGGGGTGCTCGGGAGGGTCGGGCGTGCCCGGGCTGCCCCTGCCTGTCGAGGGGGTGGGGGTCGCGCGGGCCCCCAGACCTCCCCGAGCCTTCGCTTCTGCAGCCCCCTGCTCGCCCCCCGCGACCCTGCCCCGGCGCCCCCCGTGCCCCGCGGAGACCCGCGCCCGCTCCCTGACTGTGGTTTCTGGCGGGAGACGTCGAAGCCCCCAGATCCGGGCCACCCTAGGGTGCGGGAGGGGGGGGAGGAGGTGATTGACAGCTGCGGCGGCGTCGGGCCCCGCCCCCGGGACGCGACAAGGTCACTGTCCGGCAGAGGCGGCGCCGCGGGTGGCCCTGTCCCCCACCCACCCACACACCCACACACACACACACACACACACACACACACACACACGCACTCGTGCACCCCCAGGAGGGGTCGCCCCCTTTCGCTGGCCGGGGCGAGGTCCTCTGGGACCCCGCAGCGTGTTTTCATCAGAGCCACCCACCAAGGGCCCAGGAGATGAGGCAGGGCGCTCGCCTGGCAGGTGGCCCACCCCAGTGTCCCAGTTTATCTTTTTTTTTTTTTTTTTTTTTTTTTGCTTTTTGGGTCACACCCAGTGATGCTCAGGGGCCTGGGTATGCGCTGAGGAATCCCTCCTGGCAGTGCCCGGGGGGACCCTCTGGGATGGGATGCTGGGGATCGAACCTGGGTCAGCCGTGTGCAAGGCAAACGCCGTCCCCGCTGTGCTATCCCTCCAGACCCCACCCCAGTTTAATCCTGGCACTCCCCCACCCACCCACCCTCACCCTCACCCCCGGTGACCCACGTGCCTACAGGAGGGATCCCTAAATTGGCACCATGGGCAAAGCAGGAAAGGCGGCTGCTGGTTTAGGAAAGACGCCTTGTGATGGGCAGCCAAGGGAGGACAGGGACCAGCGCTGGGTGTTAAATGAGAGAAGCTGGAACCGGCCGGTGTCCCGGGCCTGGGGGAAGCGCGTTCTCAGGGGGCAGAAACTGAAGGGGGATTCCAGGGGGGACGGAGGCTGCCGGTACCATGCACCACCCAGGGATGGGGATCCCAGCAGGAAAGGCGGGTGGGCGGCCGCGGGAGGAGAAGGAGGGGGCCAGGGAGGACAGCGGTTGGGTGTCAGCACTGGTCTAGGGCTGCCGGTTCCTTCGGCCCTCCACGTTTCAGGTAGATTTTTCTGATAAAGTTGGGGAAATTGAAACGGAAAGAAAACGGAACGCTGGATCAGAACTAGCTCCCTTGCCGTGGATACAGAGGACAGTGAGGGTCACTGGACAGCAGGGAGGGCGCTCACCTTGCACGCAGCCAACCTAGGTCTGATCCCCGGCACCCCATCTGGTCCCCTGAGCCCCACCAGGAGTGACCCCTGAGTGCAGAGCCAAGAGTGAGCCCTGAGCATCGCTGGGTGCTCCCCTTTCTCCCCCCCCCAAAAAAAAATAAACATGAAAACACAATTCGAACCAACTTTCCCTCTCTCGCTTCATTCCTGCCTTGCGGCCTGGGGGTGGTTACAGAGAACTGGGACCCGCTGCCCGGAGGACACTCCCGCTGTCCCCAGCACCATCCTGGCCTCTCCCCCACAGGTGCTGCCATCCCCCCGGCCATGGACGAGGTCACCTTCAGAAGTGACACAGTGCTGTCGGACGTGCATCTATATACCCCCAACCACAGGCACCTCATGGTGCGTCTGAACGGCGAGGGGCAGCCGGGTAAGGGCCGGCGCGCAGGAGGGGGGCCCCAGGGAAGGTTCTGGAAGGTGACTGGGGAGCTCACCCAGGATCTACGGGAAAAACCAGGGAGGCGGCAGCAGCCTGGAGCTTCTCCCTCGGGCCCCTTGTCCCTCTGTCCTTCCAGTCTTCCTGTCCCAGTTCAAGCTTCTGTGGAGCCAGGCCCCCGGCGCAGACGCAGGGGGTCGCGCGGAGCAACCCCCTCCCGCCAGAGCACCCCTCGACAGCACCAGCAGCAGCGGGGGGTCCTCCCCCCACGCCGGGGCGGATACTTCCGGCCAGGAGAGGCCAGAAGCACAGCTGGACGAGGATGGGGATTTGGATGTGGTGAGAAGACCCCGGGCGGCCTCGGACCCTGACCCCACGGCGCTTCCTCGGGTCAAGGTGCACCCCACCATCCTCTGGCAGGACGGAGACAGCGCCCAGGGAGAGGAGCCCCCGGACAGCAGCCCGCAGGGCTTCATCCGGATCGGTAAAGCCAGGCCTGGGGCGCCGCCCCCCTACACCCACGAAGCCCGATGGCCCCCGCTGAACCATCTTGGCCCCAAGGCCGTGGAGATGCTGGGGGCCCCAGCGGTCCTGCCCCTCGGCCATGTGTGTGTGTGACAGGCTGGGACGGGGCCCGGCCCTTGCTTCCTGAGCGCTGGCTGGACAGCCCTGCCCACCCCTCCCCTGCCGCAGCCGGGAGATCCCCGGGGTGGGAGGGCCGGAGAGCACTGTAGGCTGAGCATGAAGGCCTGGGTTCCGTCCCCAGCGATGCATGACCCCCTTCCCCCAACACTGCTGTTCATGGCATCCCAAACATCCAACATTGGTCATTGGTCATTTGCATGGAAGCACCACGAGCCCTCCCAGTGGGTCCAAGCAGCCCCCTTCTGTGGGGGTCGCACGAGCACCCACAGAGCACAAGGAGGAGGAGTTGGGGTCCCACCTCACAGGAGCAGCGGTGGTGGGCAGACCCCCCACCCTCGCCCCACCTGGGCGCCGCCCTCTGCCGCACCCCCGCCCGGTGACGGGTCAGTGCCGGGGTCTGCCTCCCATGGTGTCCCCCCCCAGCACCCCATTTCTTAGCGACTCCCTCTGTCTCTGTCCCGGCCATGCAGAGCACACCATGGCCACGCCCCTGGAGGATGTGGGCAAGCAGGTGGGTGGCCCCTGTCCCCTCCCCATGGCCCCCAAGGCTTCCCCAGGGGCTCCCGTCACCGGCAGCCACCCTGTGCCCGCTGCAGGTGTGGCGTGGGGCCCTGCTCCTGGCCGACTACATCCTGTCCCAGCAGCACGTCTTCCGGGGCTGCACGGTCCTGGAGCTGGGCGCCGGCACGGGGCTGGTCAGCATCGTGGCGGCCACCGTGGCCAGCACTGTCTACTGCACAGGTAAGGCCCTGCCCCCACGCAGGGAAAAGCCAATCAGACGCGCCACTCGTGGGGCTAGAGTCACAGTACAGCAGGGAGGGTGTTTGCTTTGCACGCAGCCGACCTGGGTTCAATTCCCAGCATCCCATATGGTCCCCCGAGCACCGCCAGGAGTATTCCTGAGTGCACAAGCCAGGAGTAACCTCTGAGTATTGAGGGTGTGACCCAAAAAGTAAAAAAAAAAAAAAAGTGCCGCATGAGGTAGGCCAGTGGGCTTTCCGGGAAGCGTGTGTGGGCCTGTGAGGGGGTTGCCAGCCCCCCGCCCCAAGCCCCCTCTGGGCCAAGCAGGTTTGTCTCTCACTTGGGGGTGTGAGAGATGGTGCAGCAGGGAAGGTGCCCACTTCCCACCAGCCGACCGGGGACTTGGCCCCGAGCACAGAGCTGGGAGTCAGCCCCAAGCACAGCCAGGTGTGACCGCCCCCATGAGAACAAAAACAAGAAATAAAATTGCACAGGGGCACAGACACATCACACACACACACACACACACACACAGACATTCAGGTACATGCATTCACACCCGGGTCCTCAGCACATTTCAAGGGCAGAAACAGGACGGAGGGAGCCGGCTGCACCCCTGTGCCTCACAGTGCCCGGCCGTGAGCCCCGATGCCCCTTGTGCCCCCAGCAGGGCGCGTTCAAGTCTCAGACACCCCCTCAGGCCTGCCCCCCCCCCGCAAAGTGAGGAGAGCCCTGGGGGCCCTGGGACCCAGGAGGGGGAGACACCCACCGCCCGCTCCTTCTGTCCTTGCAGACGTCGGGGCCGACCTCCTGGCCATGTGCCAGCGGAACATCAGCCTCAACAGCCACCTGACGGGCCCCACAGGTGAGACGGTCGGACACTGGCTTGGGCAGCCCTGCCTGCACCCTGCACCCAGGAACATGGATGGAGCTTGGGGCCCAAGGGTGCTGCCTGCCGCCCCCATCCGGCCTTTGTGGGGAGACGGAGAAACAGGGGCTGCTCCTCCCCCCCACCCCACGTCCCCTCACCTGCTCCCCTGGATGCCCAGACCCGCTGCACCCCGTTGGGTTGGTCTGGAGCCACACCCAGCAATGCTCAGGGCTGACTCCCGGCTCTGTGTACAGTGCTCACTCCTGGCAGTGCTCAGGAGACCGTAGGAGATTGCCGGGGATCGAACCACATGCAGGGGAAGCTGTTCTGCCATAAGCCCTGTGCTGTGACCCCGCTGGCCAGAGACCAGCCCTGCCTGTTCTGCAGGACCCCGTGACCCTTGTGTCCTGGCTGGCCGCCGGGAGGGGGTAAAGGGGTGTTCATGGCACTGACATGGTGTATGTGTTGGCGCAGGCGGCGTGGTCAAGGTCCGCTCACTGGACTGGCTGGAGGATGACCTCTGTACAGGTGCATGCCGGCCACCCCTTGACCCCCACGTTCCTGGGCACTCCTCCCTGCCCCCACCCCGTCCTACTGAGCAACCACTGTGAGGAGTCGGACAGAGGGAGGGAAGCCCTCAGGGACCTTGGGCAATGGGGACCAGCCCCCAGGACCCTCCCTCTCCACCCTCTCCCCTGTCCAGTGGTGGGCAGGGCCCTCCTGAGCTGACCTGAGGCTGCCACCTTCCCTGGGGCCCCCTCCCGTGGCCCTCGGGCACCCCTGCCCCCTGCCCTGGGCTGTGACTCATCCTCGTCACTCAGACACCCTCCCCGGTGCCCGCAGACCCCTCGGTCCCCTTCAGCTGGTCGGAGGAGGACGTCTCCGACCTGTGCCGGCACACCACCATCCTGCTGGCGGCCGAAGGTAAGCGGTGACCCCACACGGCCCCCCCAGGCCGCCCCTGCCTGCCTCAGGCGTGTCCCTGCAGTCTGGCTGCTCTGTGCCGCCCGCAGTGTTCTATGACGATGAGCTGACCGATGCGCTCTTCCGCACGCTGGCCCGCCTGGCTGGACGCCTGGCCCACGCCTGCACGGCCATCCTGTCCGTGGAGAAGAGGTGGGTGCCCCTGGGCATGCGGCATTGGGGTCGGCGCCCCATGCCTGGCACAGTGATGGCCAGGTCTCCACTCCCAGAGTCACTGCCCTCGGCCCGTGCCAGTCCACGTGTCAGGGGGCAGCAGGGGGACCCTCACAGCAGCCGCACACTGCGGGTACCTGAGTGCTTGTGGGGTTCTAGGGCATAGAGTAACTGGCATCTGACTCCGGACAGCAGCGGGGCCGCCCCCTGGACATCCCGGTTCCCCTCACCGCCCACCTCCCAGACGCGCAGGGGAGGGTTGTGGGTGTCTGTTGGGGGGAAGACCTGTCTTCGCCCTCAGCTAGGCAGGTTCCTGTGCCAGAGTCGGGACTGACGTGCATGGACACGCATGCATGCACACACATGTACACACGCAAACGTGTGTGCACCGGGATTCCACCTCGAGGGGAACCCCTGCCCGCACCCAGGCTGACACTGGCGGTGCCCACAGGCTGAACTTCACGCTGAAGCACCTGGACGTGACATGCGAGGCCTACGACCACTTCCGCGCGGCGCTGCGGCAGCTGGAGGAGTGTGCCCACGGCCGCCTGCGCTTCGAGGTGCAGCCGCTGGACACGTCCTTCCCGCAGCGCTTGGCCTACGAACGGATCCGGCAGCTGGTGGGTGCCTGCGTGGGGGAGGGGGCGGCCACGGGTCCGGTCTGTGTCCGTGTGACCGGGGTCTCCATCTGCCCCGCAGGAGCTCTGGAAAATCTGCGTGGAACCCATCACGTGACCCTGGTGGCGCCCACCCCGGGCGCGTGTTTCTAATAAAGTCAGAAGCCCCCCAGCATCGCGTCCGTGACTCTGCTCGCACCGACAGGGCCCAGGGACCCTCGCGGGGTGGTGGGGGCTGCCCAGGGTACTGCACAGGGGCTGGTGGCCTGGTCAGTGGTGGCCACGCGGGGGACAGCCCACCTGTGCCAACCGCCGCCCTGGTCTGGGCGTTCACCCTCTCACCTGAACGCACGCCCCTCTTGCTCCTTGGTTCCCGTGTGCAGCTTGTCCCCTCCTGCTCCCGCGCCACCTGTCTGTCCTGTCTGTCCGTCCCCACCAAGCCGGGTCTCGCCACCACCCACCAGCCCTGCCCGGCTTTCCTGTCACGAGCCCGTGCGGTCGCCAGGGGGCAGCATTTTTCACCTCACGCCTCGGCAGTTCCCGCAGCCCCCGGTGGGGGCGCAGGCCCAGCCGCCGGGTCACTGCAGGACGAGGACAGGTGCCCGGCCCTGGTGTCCCCGAGCTCAGTGCTCGCAAAGGAAGGGGGTCGCGGCTGCAGCGGGGGCGGGGCACGGACCCACGGCTGCGGCTGAGCAGTTCTTCCCGGGGCGGAATCTTCCCCCCCACAATCCCCCTAGGTTTGAAGGGGGAAAGCAAGGAAAGATGTGATGCGACCCCAAAACGGGGGTCCGCAGGGAAAGAGGCTGGGGAGGGACCATCCTCGTGTGACCCCTCACCCCAGCTGCCCCCCACATGACCAAGCCTGAAGGACAGGGCAGGGGGCCCAGCCTCCAGGACAGAAGTCTGGCGCTCTGGGGCAGTTTCCAGCAGTGATGGACCTCATCCTGGGGTCCGCACCCCACCCTGGGGTCTACACCCCCCCCTCGGGACTCCCCAAGGCAGCTGGGGACTGAGGGAGGGTCGGAGGAGCCAAGAGGACGCAAGTCTGGCACTCTTGCCACACCCCCCTCACCCTCCTCACACCCGGGCAGGGGACCCCAGGGAGCACCGTGGGACCTCCAAAACCCCTCTCAGCTGTGGGGAGGGGCAGGGGGATACCCAGGAGCACTGCATGGTTCCGGGTGGGGGGATTCTGACGGGGCGTCCCCTGCACCTGTCTGCCCAAATCTGCTCATTTTCAAGCCACCGAGTGTGTGGCCCAAGTGACACCAGGGAGGAAGGGAGGGATGGATGGATGGATGGACGGACGGACGGATGGATGGATGGATGGATGGATGAACAGGAAGGGGGGTGGGGGTGGGGGTAGGAGGATAGATGCCGGCATGGGCAGGTGGGGGCATGGGCCATCTCTTGGGGCTCCTGACTGGTTTGTTGGGGCCCAGGCTTGGGGTGGCGGCACCTCTGGGCCCCGCGCTGGGGGGGAGCTGCGGCCAGCAGGTGGCGCCGTCGCCTCGTGAATCTCCAGTGGACCAGCGGCCTGCACCCAGGGGGTCCCAGCGGCCACCGATCAGGGTGTCCCCAGAGCCTGCTCTGCCCCTTAGGGGAGCACTAACCTGGGAGCCCCCAGCCACGGTCCTTGCAGATGGATCCCGCGGTCCCACCTCTCGGCCACGGCCCCAGGGCTCAGAAGGGACCCGCTGGACCCTCAGTGCTCTCCCTTCAGTCCTGCCCCGGGGGCGCTGCCCTCTGGATAAGCCACGGGGCTCTGGGGAGGGGGCGTTTGTCTCGGGAGATGCGGTGCTGGGGTGACTCCGGCTCCGGCGCGGGGTGAGTGGGGAACAAGGTGGACACCAGGATCCAGGGACCCAGGAGCCCCTCCCACCCCCCCACTTGCACCCATGCCCGCCTCCTGGATCAGACCCCCCTCGGCTCCCCACCATCCCCAGCCCCCGGCCCGGGCTGGTGCAATGCAATGAGGCAGGTGAAGTTCAGTCCCCGCTCCAGTTCCCGCTCCTGGGAATCCGCCCACGAGCCCGCATCTTGACTGACAGGTGGGTTATTTGGAGCAGGAAGAAAATCCGGTTTCCCTGGCAACGCGCACCTGGGGAGGGGGGGTGCCGCCCACGCCCCGGGGCGCCTGCTCCACGAGGCTGGGGGTCTCTTCCGACCTCAGCACAGCCCTGGGGGGACCCTGACTCCTGGACCCCCTGTCTGATTGAGAAGGAAACCGAGTGCAGGATGGGGGAAGCTGGACCAGGAGGACTCAGCCCTGAGCTGGGCAGCGTCCTGGAAGCCAGGAGGGGGCGTAGTTCCTGATGCCCGCACCCACACACTCCCCGCTCCCCCACCCCCACCCTGCACAGGATTCCCCCATGACTGCAGCCTCTTTGGTCCCTCCTGCCTCCTGCGACCACACACTGCCCCTAAGCCATAGTACGGTGGGGAGGGTGTTTGCCTTGCATGCGACCGACCCGGGTTCGATTCCCAGCATCCCGTATGGTTCCCTGAGGATGAACACCGCCAGGAGTCATTCCTGAGTGCAGAGCCAGGAGGAACCCCTGAACACTGCCGGATGTCACCCCAAAAGCCAAAAAATTAGAAGAGGGGCCAGAGTGATAGCACAGCAGGGAGGGCGTTTGCCTTGCACGCGGCTGACCCGGGTTCGATTCTTGGTATCCCATAGGGTCCCCCGAGCACCGCCAGGAGTGATTCCTGAGTGCAGAGCCAGGAGGAACCCCTGAGCATCGCCGGGTGTGACCCAAAATGCCGAAAAAGGAGAGAGAGGGAGAGAGCTGTCTTTTCACTAGCTAACGCCCCTGCTGCGTGTGTGTGTGTGTGTGTGTCTTATCCTCACGCTTCCCACCTGGATTTAATGCCCCCGCCGCCGCTGCTGCTTCGGGGTCACATGGAAGAGGCCAGGGGACTGGACAGATGCTCCAGTTCTTCCTGCCCTGCACGCAGCCCACAGGGGATCGATCCTGGTATCCCCTGTGGTCCCCTGAGCGTGGCCAGGAAAGATTCCCGAGTATGATCAGGTGTGCCCCCTCCCCCCCCCTACACACACACACATAAAGTCACTGCCAAGTCCTGAAGCCCACCCTGGTTCCCTCCAAGAGCCTCTTCCGTTTGTTTGGTTTTTTGTTTGGTTTTGTTTTTGCTTTTTTGGGTCACACCTGGTGATGGTCAGGGATTCCTCCTGGCTCTGCACTCAGGAATCACTCCTGGCAGTGCTGGGAAGGGGGGAGGGGGGGAACCCTATGGGATGCCAGAGATCGAATCCAGGTCGGCTGCATGCAAGGCAAACGCCCTCCCCCACGGTGCTCCCACCCCACCGCCCCTAGATGAAACCATTGTCAGCTCATCTCCACTAAGGGTATGACTGGAGGATGCAAACAGGGGGAGGGCCCAGTAAGCAGGTCACGGAGACAGCACAGGGGCTGAGAAGGGACCAATGACACCAATGTCCAGCGTCACAGGGCCACAGGGAGGTGAAGCCAGAATCGGGCATCATGGCCCACGCTGGCTCCCGTGCCCGTGCCACTGGGCCGTGCCACCCTGGCGTCTCCGTCACTTGGGGAGACTCCGGGCTCTCAGCAGACCCCTCCATGCTCTTCATGCACAGCCCTTCCCACTCTGACCTCCGGGCTTCGGAGAGCCACACTCGCCTGGGAGACAAGCTCTCGCCCCCTTCCGTCCCCAAGACCCGGCCGTCCCCAGCCAGGCCCCCAGGCAGCAGCTGCAGAGCCAACGTGGTTGTGGTTTCTCTGCCTGCTGGCAGTTTTCTTCACAGTATTTCAATGAAGCTATTTGAGAAGCAGCTTGTGAAGCACCTGGTTCCAGGTCTCTGTTTCACAACCCCAGCTTCAGCGGAGCGGAGCCCCCGGCCTTGCCTCGGCCCCTGAGTGCCGCAGGGACCAAGACATGTGGTTCCCTCTTTGCAGGAGCCGAGGCTCAGCTTTCCCTGGAAAGGCCGGAGCGTAAATGTTCTTTCACTTGGTGGGGGAGGATGTACCCGACACCTGGTGCCGCTCAGCGCTGACTCCGGGCTCTGCACTCGGGGATCACTCCTGGTTCTATTCGGGGATGACTCCTGGCTCTGTGCTCAGGGCTCACTCCTGGCTCTGTGCTCAGGGATCACTTCTGGTTCTGTGTTCAGGGCTCACTCCTAGCTCTGTGCTCAGGGATCACTCCTGGCTCTGTGCTTAGGGATCACTCCTGGCTCAGCACTCAGGGCTCAGTCCCAGCTCTGTGTTCAGGGCTCACTCCTAGCTCTGTGCTTAGGGATCACTCCCGGCTCTGTGCTCAGGGATCACTCCCGGCTCTGTGCTCAGGGATCACTCCCAGCTCTGTGTTCAGGGCTCACTCCTAGCTCTGTGCTCAGGGCTCACTACCGGCTCTGTGCTCAGGGATCACTCCCGGCTCTGCACTCAGGGATCACTCCTGGCTCTGTGCTCAGGGATCACTCCTAGCTCTGTGCTCAGGGATCACTCCTGGCTCTGTGCTCAGGGATCACTCCCGGCTCTGTGCTCAGGGATCACTCCTGGCTCTGCACTCAGGGATCACTCCCAGCTCTGTGTTCAGGGCTCACTCCTAGCTCTGTGCTCAGGGATCACTCCTGGCTCTGTGCTCAGGGATCACTCCCGGCTCTGTGCTCAGGGATCACTCCTGGCTCTGCACTCAGGGATCACTCCCGGCTCTGCACTCAGGGATCACTCCTGGCTCTGTGCTCAGGGATCACTCCTGGCTCTGCACTCAGGGATCACTCCCGGCTCTGCACTCAGGGATCACTCCCAGCTCTGTGTTCAGGGCTCACTCCTAGCTCTGTGCTCAGGGCTCACTCCTAGCTCTGTGCTCAGGGATCACTCCCGGCTCTGTGCTTAGGGATCACTCCTGGCTCAGCACTCAGGGCTCACTCCCAGCTCTGTGTTCAGGGCTCATTCCTAGCTCTGTGCTCAGGGATCACTCCTGGCTCTGTGCTCAGAGATCACTCCCGGCTCTGTGCTCAGGGATCACTCCCAGCTCTGTGCTCAGGGATCACTCCCGGATCTGTGCTCAGGGATCACTCCCAGCTCTGTGTTCAGGGCTCACTCCTAGCTCTGTGCTCAGGGATCACTCCCGGCTCTGCGCTCAGGGATCACTCCCGGCTCGGTGCCCAGGGCTCACTCCTA